GAAATAGACTGCATAATGCTCTATTAACTTTGAATTTTCTCAGTGCTAATGAGAAAGGAACAACAGCTGCAGAGAGACATTGGATAATAGAAAAAACTACGGAATTAAATCAGCCTATATACTTTAAGGATGTGCTGACCTCAGAATGGAAACCAGCATATGTGTTACGTTGGGGATGAGGTTTTGCTTTTGTTTCTACAGGAGAAGATAAGCTGTGAATACCACCAAAATTGAGAAAGGTTCAATTTGAACAAGAGAGACCTCTTAATTAGAAGATGTTCATCAACCAGCGTGACTATCCAATTTAAACTAATACTATTAACATATGCCTTTAAATTTAATAAGATATAACTTTCCAAAAAGGAACCTCCCCAAAATTAGTCTTGGGGAAAGGTTTTTGTTTTTGTCTTTTAGGAGAAAGAAGGCTAGGGAATCTGAAGAACACTGGAGAAATGAGACATCTGAAGAAAAAGGACAAATTATCTAGAAAAATGTCCCAAGAAAAAGAGTAAAATGGCTGATTTGTGTATCATCTATAAAATTTCATACGTCTTCCTAAATGTTTGTTTCTGCTCTTCTCTAAAGAAATTTAACACTATTGGTCCTCTTGTAGTCCCAGTTCAATTAAAATTTAAAGCTGGCTTTGAAGTTGGAGAATGGCTCTTTCCTTCTTTAAACTCAAGCATGTTGTCAAAAGGAAAATGCAATCTCCCTGTATCATGCCTGAAGAAAGAGCCATCTTCTGCTATGGGACAAGAGAAAAACCAAATTAATTAAGGGACTATTCTATTACTAATCTCAACTCTTTGATTCTATTCTGATTTTTTAAACTTTTCTTAAAATATGAATTTTACATCAAAATGTACAAGATTATAAATATATACTTTAAACTTTGTTAAGATATTAATGGTCATATAGAGTACTAACTAATTCTAGAAAAAGCTTCAATTAGCTGCCTATATATGTCTTTGTGTTTGAGTCTTTATCAGTTTTCTGCAGGAAATCACAGCCAGGCCTAAAATCAACTGAAGTCTCCAGAAAGAAGATGGGGCCCCACAACAACAACAATTCCACATGGATAATAATAATACCACTAAGCTGACAAACATCATTTACAGATCAGCTTTGGACTACAAACTGCTCAGAGCAATTTTGAGAGGACTAGCTGAGATGATCAGGTTTCAAAGAGTATTTGAATAAGGACTTGAGATATTCCTGAACTTTGGCATTATGCACAGACTGGACAACAAAGGATATAGCTACCTTTCCTAGTATTTGACAGTTAACACAAAATTTTTCTTTTCAGAAAAAGGTACCTTTGCCCATATCCAGCAAGAAGCAATTTTAAGAATACAACGCCTACATTCCCAAAGAGGTGGTGTGGGGTGGGTGGTTTTTTTTGTCTTCTAATGGGTTTTGGGTCTGGGATAAATTTCATTGTTTAGGAGGGTTGGTTACAAGTTGTTGTTAAGGATTAGGAAAAGGGCTAAGCAAAGGAGATTAGATTTAAGGTTGTTGTTTAAGAAAAGATACATAGAAATGGTAGAATGGAGAATAGATTATTGAATCTACTTGCAAAAAATAATGAGAATATATAGATATGATATAGATAAAAAGATTATGTTTTAAATTGGATTGGGTTTTTGTATATTGTATACAAATTATATATATTGAGATTGATATTGTTAGAAAATGCTATACATAAATTGCTAATCTTGTTCAAGATATTGTACTTATACCATTCATTTAATAATGTGATGCAATTTTCTAATCCATGAATGTTTTTATTACCAACTATTAGGATAAAAAGAAATGAAAGTTAGTAGTTAGACATTACAATTGAACTTGTAGTAATATTAGGTATGTTTTCAAGACTGAGCAGATATATTTTAGATAGACAGGTCATTTTCAAACCTTTCAGAGAGCTACAGAATATGGCATTTAAAATGTTTTAATAACTTAGAATTTTTTTCCTTTTTTTAAATGACTATGAGACATGTCGGCTCCTGGCAGTATCAATCTACTTCAGAGAAAATATGGGCATTGAATGAACTGCATATGGAGTTAACTTTCATTGTGGCAAAAGTTAGCCACTGGACAACAAAGTATCTTTGGATCAACTACTGACAAACAGAACAAAATGGACAGACAGGACATGAAACAAAGGACTACCAATTCTTGCCAAGACATGTGGTTGTGGCTTTAACAAAAGGCATCTTCTGAATATGGCACCGTCCCTTTACAGAAAATGTACACTGCCTCTTTCTTTGAAGGCAGCTGAACTGGCAGTGGACTGATGGCTTCTGATGTTCAGTGGAACAGCAACTGAAACAGTTATTCTTGAAAGAGTAACTAAGCTGACAGAGGCTAACCTCTCAAGGGTAGACTGGCATTTAATGAAAGAGTTGAAGCTACCCACAAGCTGAGAAAAATGGGATTAGGAGAAGAACAGGATACTGAGATGAAGCCACGCACACAAGCAAAAAAGAAAGGACAGCTGCATTAAAAAATATCAACAATTTCAATCAAGAATTTAAAATCCTGAATCATGACATGACACTAGTGGAATTCAGGTGTTTCTGCTACATGTACTAATCTCACCAAATGTGAGGTCTAACTGTTGGCCTTGTGTACATCCTACTTCACAAATGAGTCTGTCAGATATGCTAATACTATAGGCTGAACATGATGCCCCAACGCTGTGGAGAAACCTTGGATGATTGTCCAGGCAGCTGGCTGTTTCTGTTAACTCACATTTTTTTGGAAGCCGCTGTGTGCACTTCCTGTTTTTATTTTTTTAAGTATTATAATTTCCTTCTTGGGTCTCTGAGGGAGTTGAAGATTAGTTATAGTTATAGTTGAAAATTAGTTATAGTTATAGTTAAAGATTAGATAGTTATAGTCTTCCTTGTTAAGAATTTCAGAAAAGAAACTCACTAAAGAAGTGTAAGTGTATAAATTTGAAAGACATTATAAGACAGTTCTGTTAGTAATATAAGTTAGGATGGAAAGTGAATCAGGTACATTTTGGACTTACCAAAATAGGGTAGATAATGGAATTATTTTCTCTGAATTTGTCAAATGCAATTGGACTAGACATTGTTTAGGTAATTATTGCTTGTATATATTGTATAGTTATTGTACTTTTTGTATATAGTTTTTCTTATATTAGTTATAACTTTTTTCCTTTTTTCTCGTTATTAAAATAGAAAGGAGGAAATATGGTGATATTTTATTTGTGCTGAAATGTGATTTTATTTGTATGTTAATAAATAAAAGGGCCTGGGGTGTCAGAGCTAATAACAAGCCACTTAGCAGAGATCTGGCAGTGGTAGACTTAATCCTAACATGCCTTTAATTCTGATCACATGACAGGCAGATCTTTGTGTGTTCAAGGACACCACCAGCATGGAGACACACGTCTTTAATCTCAATACCAACCATAGAGACTTGGAGGTCTGTATAGACAGGCAGTGACAAGGAGGTCATGTGGTTGGGTTTACATCCAATGAGAAGGCAGAACAGAAAGTCAATAAAAAGACAGACACACAGGAAGTAGGTCTCTTTCTCAGCAGAAGAAGGTATGTGGCAGTAGGTGGTAAAAAGGCAGTTTTAGTCTCAGCTCTTAGCTACTGCTCTGACCTCTTGGACTTTTAACTCTGCATTTGGTCCTATGTTTCTTACTTAGTAAAACTGTTACATCTACAGCCTAGCTGGTGTGTTCCCAGAGAATGACTGCTGGTTTTGGAAGCAGGAATAATGGGATTTAATGTCCTTGAAGCAACCAAAGCTACCAGCCTGAGAACAGGCTGGCATATGTCTCTAGATTCTCAAACATTGGGATATGGGGTTAATGAGTAAGAATGATAACTCTGTTCATTTTTAATGATGACAAAACCTGAGGTTAAAATGATTGGAAATGATAACTCTGTTTTGTCATAGTTTATTAATGTTGATTAAAAGATGAGCAAAAAAAGTGAAACACATGTCCAAAACCGAAAATGACATGGAAATGATAACTCTGTTCTGTCATAGTTCATTAATGATGACTAAAAGATGAGGAAAAGGAAGTGAAACACATGTCCCAAACCAAAAATGACATCATCTGTGTTTTGGAACATCATTAATGTATCACTTTATTCCGCTGCTGACTCCTTACATCCTCTGCAGGATCTATACAAACTTGGAGATGGCTCCAGGCATCAATACATCCCAAAACATAATTGTTTATACTTAATTCATGGAGCTATCCTGTACTTGGAATTGGATATAGTTTTTTTTCTTAATGAAACAATAATAATTTGTAACCAATTCTCTTAAATGATGGCAATTATTTGTAACCCATTGAACTCAAATGACCAAAATCCATATAAATAATTCTTTTCCTGTGGAAACAAAAGCATAAATTTTACCAAATAAATTGTATATTTGACTTTCATCCTGAAATCAAAGCTTTTCAAAGTATCCAGGCTGGTAATTTAAAGTTTATTGACCACTGTCAAGACAGAGAAGGGTTAAGGTGGGAAGCTTCTAGCCAGCACAAGAGACCTTGATATTTCCACAGTGAGGAAAAACTTGGCTTAGGAAGAAAGGGAGGGGATGTGGTTCCAGAGTATGTCCTTGGCTGCCAGTGTTCCTGAAAATAATTGTTTTTGTTAACCCTCTGACTCTATTAATTAACAACTATCATCAGGCTGTTTATTCAGCATTCACAGAATGTGTCAGTTGCAGCCAGTTCCCATCACCTGGCCATAGCTCCTGTCTCTGCCCACATGGACTGAGAGCATGCACCCCACCCTCTGTGAGAGCCACTGGCTGGGTATGGCCTCTCCAGCAGACCCAGACCAGCCCTGCCTGTGCTGCAGGCCTGATAGCAAGAGAACTATGGAGGAGGTGGCCCTTGCTGGGCATCTCTCTCCTCTCCCAGGAACATAAGGGAGGTTAGTCGACAGAAATTAGTAACACTGACGTAGACATAAGTACCGTTACATCAGCACTGAGGTGACAGCCTCACTGGCGCTTAGCAAGCCCCATCTAACAGATGGCCTCTCTTGTAGTACACAAGCCCCACCTGGCAGAAGCTACCTGCTTATCTCAGTTCAGTCAGGCGACCCAGTCCCTTTAAACACATGGAACAGAACAGTAACATAGTAGCAGGCAGAACATAGACCAAACAAGGACAAAGACATCAGTTTGTGGGCACAACCCACTCAGCAACCCACTCTGCCTCTACAGAGGAACTAGGGGAATCCCTGAGTCCCCAAAGAAGGGTCCCCTGACCCACCAGAAGAGCCTTGGGACATCTCCTAGGACCCCAGACCATGATCTGCCAGTGCCTCCCCTTAGATCTTATCTGGGCTTTATAGACACATATCCCACTGCCAGAAATGGGCAGAAACAGAGACAAGAAACCAAAAATGCTTGCCAGGCAAATCTGATATCACCTGATGTTACCTGTTGTTACTTGATAATGGGCACCTTAAGACTCAACAGAGGGTGATTCTTGTGGGACTGGGAATCATGGTGGATCTTTCAAATGTTGTACCTAGAGTCACCAAGGCAACACCTGGAGACCGAACACAATGCAAAACTATAGAATCTTTGTATTGTTATGAGATAACTAGGGACTCTCCATTTGTCTGACCCATCAGCACAGCAGGAAAGACCCTGAGTATCAATCGGGCATGTTTTTTTTTTTTTTTGTTTGTTTGTTTTTGTTTTTTCGAGACAGGGTTTCTCTTTGTAGATTTGAGCCTTTCCTGGAACTCACTTTGGAGACCAGTCTGGCCTCGAACTCAGAGAGATCCGCCTGCCTCTGCCTCCCGAGTGCTGGGATTAAAGGCGTGTGCCACCACTAACCGGCTCGAGCGTGGTTTTTAAAGCAAGGTGTCGAGGGGTCTATAGACTACATAGGAACAGACTCAGGATTGGTTTATGCAAGTGGCAATCATGGTAGTAACTTTTTTTTTTTTTTTTTAGTTTTTAGTTTTTTTGAGACAGGGTTTCTCTTTGTAGTTTTGATGCCTGTTCTAGAACTTGCTCTGTAGACCAGGCTGGCCTCAAACTCACAGAGATCTTCCTTGCTCTGCCTCCCAAGTGCTGGGATTAAAGGTGTGCATGCCCACTGCCTGGTAATATTAGTAACTTTTAATTGGCTAAGTTCAATTGGGGGTTCCAATTGGGAGTTATCCATTTTTAGGCAGGCCTGGACAAGTCCCAGGCTTTGTCCTTGAGCTGCCATGGAGGCTGGCTGACCTAGCATGGCCACATTGTGGTTGTTGGCTCAGTGGCCCAGGTTTCAAAATGATCATGCACATAGCTCTAAGTTGATGAGGGCTCCCAAACAGTAAACACCTGGCTGAACCTTGAGCGATCAGAGTTCATGCAGAAAGGGAGTTATTGCAAGGATTGTGTGTTTTGTTCATAGCCTTTGCAGAAATGGCTTGCTCAATTCTCAGGAGCAGAAATTGTGGTCTGATCTCTGAGAGAAGACTCAGCAGCCTCCTATGGCTTCTTCTCGGTCCTCTTATTCCCCCCTTGAATAGTGTATCATCTCCAATCTTGGAGATGTTTATTTTTGTTAAAAGACTTTATTATAAGGGTAGTAGATTGTTTTGAAGACTAATCAGAGCAGGACAGAAGAGGTTTTCCATTATCAACAGCAAAGTGAGCCTCTCCTTATTCAGTTATTACCATCTGCAAGAGTGTCATGGGTTTGGTTCTGGGACTGTGTGATATCACTGGGTGATACTGTGATTCTAGCATCCTCAGTTTAGTGGTACTCAGACAGGAATTATTATTTAGTTTAGGCATCAGTGACATAAGAGCCAACAGTAATTAGTAGAAGCAGAAGGGCCCAAAGCACTGTAATGGCGGACAGAGTTCCTTATCCTAAAGGAAGTTGGAAATGAGAATGGGGACCAGTCATTATTTTATCTCAGATTCCCTTTGACAAGAAATTCTTTTTTGATCTAGCATTCAGGGGCGGGTGTGGGCAGACGGACTGACAAGGGAGACATGTAGTTATTTGGAGTAGGTTGTGGTCAGCAAATGATGCTTGGATGTGTCTGTCAGCCAAGCAGTTACCTGTTGAGACAGATATAAACTAGGAGCAGGCATTGAAACTGATGAACTTCTTTGGAACCTTGAAACCCAGTCTCAGTAATTGAGGAAGTGGAGGAGTCCCAAGATCAGGAGAGAAAAATACCATGGTCAGGAATAGTCAGTTGAGAACTTAGGCTGTATTTACCAGGAATCCTTTTGACCTGTAGAAGTAGATCCAAGTTTTATGACCTTCCTGCATTATCTGAAGCTCATGGGAATTCCTTTTCATGAAAAGACATAAAAGTTCCAGATATATTAGCATTCTCATGTAGCAGGAATCTTAAAAGTTCTTATTGATAAAAATCAAACCCGGAGCCAGGTATTGGGATGAACTGAAAGATCAGAAAACAAAACAAGCCACAGCTATCTCACCTTACCAGACCCTCAGCTGGTCTTGTCTCCTCAGATTGGAGGCCTCTGAGTTCTCATCCGGAATGGGTCTCAGCTGAATTACTGCTCAAAAGCCTGAAGCTTAACCAGGCCAAATGCTTAACCAGCCAAATGC